CTACATCTGCAGAACTTGAAGAACCAGTGGCATCTACATCTGCAGAACGTGAAGAACCAGTGGCATCTACATCTGCAGAACGTGAATAACCAATGGCATCTACATCTGCAGAACGTGAAGAACCAGTGGCATCTACATCTGCAGAACGTGAAGAACCAGTGGCATCTACATCTGCAGAACGTGAAGAACCAGTGGCATCTACATCTGCAGAACGTGAAGAACCAGTGGCATCTACATCTGCAGAACGTGAAGAACCAGTGGCATCTACATCTGCAGAACATGAAGAACCAGTGGCATCTACATCTGCAGAACGTGAAGAACCAGTGGCATCTACATCTGCAGAACGTGAAGAACCAGTGGCATCTACATCTGCAGAACGTGAAGAACCAGTGGCATCTACATCCGCAGAACGTAAAGAACCAGTGGCATCTACATCTGCAGAACATAAAGAACCAGTGGCATCTACATCTGCAGAACGTGAAGAACCAGTGGCATCTACATCTGCAGAACGTGAATAACCAGTGGCATCTACATCTGCAGAACGTGAAGAACCAGTGGCATCTACATCTGCAGAACGTGAAGAACCAGTGGCATCTACATCTGCAGAACGTGAAGAACCAGTGGCATCTACATCTGCAGAACGTGAAGAACCAGTGGCATCTACATCTGCAGAACGTGAAGAACCAGTGGCATCTACATCTGTAGAACGTGAAGAACCAGTGGCATCTACATCTGCAGAACGTGAAGAACCAGTGGCATCTACATCTGCAGAACGTGAAGAACCAGTGGCGTCTACATCTGCAGAACGTGAAGAACCAGTGGCGTCTACATCGGCAGAACGTGAAGAACCAGTGGCATCTACATCTGCAGAACGTGAAGAACCAGTGGCATCTACATCTGCAGAACGTGAAGAACCAGTGGCATCTACATCTGCAGAACGTGAAGAACCAGTGGCATCTACATCTGCAGAACGTGAAGAACCAGTGGCATCTACATCTGCAGAACGTGAAGAACCAGTGGCATCTGCATCTGCAGAACGTGAAGAACCAGTGGCAGCTACATCTGCAGAACGTGAAGAACCAGTGGCATCTACATCTGCAGAACGAGAAGAGCCAGTGGCAGCTACATCTGCAGAACGTGAAGAACCAGTGGCGTCTACATCTGCAGAACGTGAAGAACCAGTGGCATCTACATCTACAGAACGTGAAGAACCAGTGGCGTCTACATCTGCAGAACGTGAAGAACCAGTGGCGTCTACATCTGCAGAATGTGAAGAACCAGTGGCATCTACATCTACAGAACGTGAAGAACCAGTGGCGTCTACATCTGCAGAACGTGAAGAACCAGTTGAGTCTACATCTGCAGAACGTGAAGAACCAGTGGCATCTACATCTACAGAACGTGAAGAACCAGTGGCATCTACATCTGCAGGACGTGAAGAACCAGTTGAGTCTACATCTGCAGAACGTGAAGAACCAGTGGCATCTACATCTGCAGAACGTGAATAACCAGTGGCATCTACATCTGCAGAACGTGAAAAACCAGTGGCATCTCTACACACACTGACAATGGGTAGACAAAAGCAGCCAGGCTGTAACTACAAGACTCTGTGCTGTGCGTTGCGTTGTCGAGCTTTGAAGGTGCTCGCGAAGCGACACTTAACTCACACCACTGGCGTAGCAATTACATTGTCAGCTCAGGAGTGTGGGGCAATACTGTTGAAGACAAATCTCTTGGTGGTGGTTATCAAGGGGGGGGGGGCGAGGCACCCCCCCCCCCCGCTTGCCCCACGGTCGATGCGCTGCTGCTGACTCGAACAGTACAGACGAATCGACTTACGAACAAATCTGTCTGTCGCCTGATGAAGCTAGTTGTAATTCCTGGCGAAACGTCGTACTTAAGATTGTAAATGTTGTGGCTTGGCTCTCCAACACACCGGTGTGCTGTACTAGTGACGAATTGGCCGCGTTCTGTTTACGTGACAACCCTTACTAGTTGCCTGTGTCGGGTGGTGGCGGGTTTGACGACACATTTATATATTTTACGCGATCTAACCCCCCCCCCCCCAAAAAACCATTGATCATGGAGCACAGACGATCTAGCCGCCAGGGTGTTTGTGGGTGCGTGTACACCTCTGTGTCAACAGAGGGCGACAGCCGAAGGCAAATTCCCGTCTGGGGAATGTTGTTGGCAACACGCGGCTCTTACGTTGAGGCGCTGTGTCGTCGTTCTTGGGTGGGTTGGTTTCTTTGTTGTTGTGAATGTTTTCACGTTGAAACGAATGAGAGCTGCATAGACTTCCAGAGTTGTCTCGTTTTTGTTGAGTGCATGGTCTGACACTATAAAAACGGGCCACGCATGGTAGTTCTTTCGAGTTGTTGGTCTGGTTAAGGCCGAGAGCTTCTGTTCATGCGACGCACATCTGTGTGTTGTTAAATATATATTTTTCCACCCTGTAATACAATTTTAAGTTGTAATGTTTTTGTTTTGTTATCATCATTTACAGATTTGAAGAAAAAAAAGAGACCTCCATCGCCTTCGACACGAGGCGGACGGATTTGAGTGTGGACGGGAATGGGCCATTACCACGTGAATTTCCTCGACAGCCATTTGGGCTCGTGTTGTCGAGGGTCTTAAGTCGATACTAAAAAGGGGTACTATTGATCATGTTCCATATGGCGAGCAGCCGAGGACGGGTCAATACAGTGAGGGGAAAAAGTATTTGATCCCCTGCTGATTGTGTACGTTTGCCCACTGACAAAGAAATGATCAGTCTATAATTTTAAAGGTAGGTTTATTTGAACAGTGAGAGAGTATAACAACAACAAAATCCAGAAAAACGCATGTCAAAAATGTTATAAATTTATTTGCATTTTAATGAGGGAAATAAGTATTTGACTCCATTTAAGAGTGTACTCCTAATCTCAGCTCGCTACTTGTATGAAAGACACCTGGGAGCCAGAAACCTTTCTGATTGAGAGGGGGTCAAATACTCATTTCCCTCATTAAAATGCAAATCAATTTATAACATTTTTGACATGCGTTTTTCTGGATTTTTTTGTTGTTATTCTCTCTCTCTCATTGTTCAAATAAACCTACCATTACAATTATACACTGATCATTTCTTTGTCAGTAGACAAACGTACAAAATCAGCAGGGGATCAAATCCTTTTTTCCCTCACTGTATATGAGCCGATGTTGACACCGGTAATATGGGCTTTCGGGTGTCACGTTAGACTCAACTTCCCATAATAAAACACATCAGCACACAAGATGAATGCACATTTAATCTTGTTTTTAAGTACAGAGAGAGAGAATGACTACATTATCAGTGGTGTAGTCACTACATTATCAGTGGTGTAGTAACTACATTATCAGTGGTGTAGTCACTACATTATCAGTGGTGTAGTGACGACATTATCAGTGACGTAGTAACTACATTATCAGTGGTGTAGTCACTACATTATCAGTGGTGATATCACTACATTATCAGTGGTGATGTCACTACATTATCAGTGGTGTAGTGACTACATTATCAGTGGTGATGTCACTACATTATCAGTGACGTAGTAACTACATTATCAGTGGTGTAGTAACTACATTATCAGTGGTGTAGTGACTACATTATCAGTGGCGTAGTAACTACATTATCAGTGACGTAGTAACTACATTATATCAGTGGTGTAGTAACTACATTATCAGTGGCGTAGTAACTACATTATCAGTGGCGTAGTCACTACATTATCAGTGGTGTAGTGACTACATTATCAGTGGCGTAGTAACTACATTATCAGTGGCGTAGCAACTACATTATCAGTGGTGTAGTAACTACATTATCAGTGGCGTAGTAACTACATTATCAGTGACGTAGTGACTACATTATCAGTGGTGTAGTAACTACATTATCAGTGGCGTAGTAACTACATTATCAGTGGCGTAGTAACTACATTATCAGTGGTGTAGTGACTACATTATCAGTGGCGTAGTAACTACATTATCAGTGGTGTAGTGACTACATTATCAGTGGTGTAGTGACTACAATGTCAGTTGCGTAGTAACTACATTATCAATGGCGTGGTCACTACATTATATCAGTGGTGTAGTGACTACATTATCAGTGGTGTAGTCACTACATCATCAGTGGCGTAGTCACTACATTATCAGTGGCGTAGTAACTACATTATCAGTGGCGTAGTAACTACATTATCAGTGGTGTAGTAACTACATTATCAGTGGCGTAGTGACTACATTATCAGTGGTGTAGTCACTACATTATCAGCTCAGGGGTTGCGGCAATCGGCCAGGTGGGGCCCCCAATATTTGATGTCTATCACGGTGGCACCTCGAGGCTATCGCCGCTCCTCTGGCCTCAGCACATCGTCGTTACGCTCACGACCCACAACATTGAACGCTGTAGGGGCGCTCCATCCGCAGCCACGGTTTACGTCAGCGGCGAGTTGTATAGTTGAACCGGTCCTGCTGCCTCCACCTCACCCGCTGCACCAGTCCACATTGACCAGCGTGGTGAAGTATGGTCAAACGACTTCCATGACCGACGGGACGTGGCGGGATGCCTTCAGGCAACAATAGACCGGCAAAAGGGCTACACAACAACAACAATTGTTATTGTATCACGATACTGCGTATGCGACGCGTCATAGCAGCGACGATGTCAGCCTGGCTTGTGTAGAGTACTCGAACAACAATCCGGGCTACGACGCAGGGAAAGCTCGCGTACATTTTGAGCTTCGGTTTCGACACACGTTATCGATCAGCCCTGGGGGGGGGGGGGGGGGGAGAGGGAGGGGGGGGGCTCATCTGTTCACGTTCGGGGCTTTAAACGTCGCGTCGGACGCGGCCCGGACCGACGGCCCACTGAATAATAATCTTGCGATGCCGTCTGGATGTTCAGATTTTTGTGTTTACCAGCGAGACAGGCGGTGTGTGTGTGTGTGTGGGAGGGGGGGGCAAAGTAAAACAAAAGAGAGAAAGGGGTTTTCGTGGCCCATTCCGACGAAGTGGCGACCCAAGTCCCGCGCCCCGGCCGACATTCCGAGACGCACTCGAGACGCGCTCCTGATCGCTCCGTCATTCCATGGCGCGCCACGCGAGTGCGACCGTTTAGTTTGGAGCACGTTTCATTTGTCTTCTTCTTCTTCGGCACAATGTGTAATCGGCTCCTGTCAAAGTGTGCGTTGTTGCTGTTGTTGTTGTTGCTGTTGTTGTTGCGAAGAGGGCGTCATGCAGATGCAGGTGTCGGTAGGGTCCCAGTGGATTTCCCAGATGGATCCCTTGGTTTGGGAGGGGTTTTTTTTAGCTGTTGATGGTGAAAATCCATGCGCCTCTTGGGACTTCATGGTGGAGTCGTCACTGGAGCTGTCGGTCGTATGGGGAGCGCTTGGGAGAGACGGAGCCGCATCTCCATTCTCCATCACCCGACGGAGTCCCAGTCCACCACTCGTGCTGCACCATAGCAGTCGCTTGTGTGAGCGAGAGAGAGAGTGTGTGTCATTCCGGTAATCATCATTCAGCGTGAAGAGAGAGAGAGAGGGGGTAAGTCTTTAGACGAGACAGATCCGAATCTGCAGGATATAAATGAACGAAAGGCTTTCGGTGGATATTTAGGAAGGCGCTGTTTGCACACCGCTCATCTACAGCCTGGGTGGCGAATATGTAAATGTTCATATTCACATCAACACCACCCATAGACGATATAGAATACTAGATTACTATGTGTTTGTTATCGTATACATCGTTTCATAATCTATACAACTGCCGTTTGTGAGACTCTGCAAACGTCGATATGCATTGATTTGTACAGCCCTTCTGTCAATCCACCGCTAGACGAGGGTTATTTCCACGTCACTTGACCATAGGGCGAGGTTGTTTGGCCATACTTCACCACGCTGGTCACGCCACCAAAGCGTCCGACCTTCCAATGTCGCTCACCCACCGAGGTGGTCTCCGCTGTCACCTTTGACAGCTGGCCAGCCCGCACGTCCCCCGGCACGGCAATGGGCTGTGAGCGCGCCGCGCTCATCGTACTGGGCAGCGTGCTCCTCACCCTCCTGCTCGCCGTGCCGGCCACGTGGCGCGCTCGCCGGGACCCGGAGCAGTCGCCTCCACCACCAACGGCGCCATCACCGCCGCCACCACCACCGCCACCGCCGCCCTCCTGGAGACGCAGGCTCACGGGCGGCGAGAGGCGCCAGTCACCGTCGAGGGCCGTGCGCGACCTTCGGAGGCCGCATGGGTGGGCGAGGATGGCGCGCCGACGAGGTCGGCTCTACTGCCAGGTGGGCATCGGATTCCACCTGCAGCTGCGACCCAGCGGCAAGATCAGTGGCACCCACAGAGCCAACTCCTTCAGTGAGTACGGCCCGACTCTCCTGCATGCCCAGGCCCTCTCGCGTGCTGCCTGGACCCTCGGCGTTCGTTGACGCTCGGCTCCTGAACGCATTGCAGCCGTGCGCAATAATACTAGAACGCAGCCTACAGCGTGGCTGTCCCGCGTAAGGTTCATATCGTGCCTTAGTCCGAGGCACTTTACAATCAGCAGCGACCACGGGGCATCGACTCGACCTTGCGACGCGACTGTCCGTCGACCTCCCGCACGCACGCAATGCGATGAAGCGTCGCCACCCCCCACGGGGTGCGTCCTCTCGGGTGAGCTCCCTCTATTAGCCGCCACTCCGCCGCAAGTCTTGACCGCTGCCTCTGATTTGTCTCCAGCGAACTGTCCTGCCCAAGTACACAATTGGACAAGGGCTGGAGGAGGTTGCAATTAAACTTGATGATACAGGTCATGCACGCTGTAGGCCATACAATTATATCCTTACGTGTGTCTAGCGTGTGCGTAAGAATAGAACCGCTTTGCGAGTTGCTAACCCTAACGAGCGAGCACCCATGGCCACGTCACGCGTTACCTACGGTGACTTGCTGCTCTAACTTTAATACAAACACAAACACTGCTGCTGTCGTATATATATATTTGTTTTCATAAGAGCTCTGGATTATAAGTTGTAGTCAGGCTCGGTGGGCACTCTTCGTGGATGTCTACTCTTGGGAGGAGGCTTTGGGGTGGCTTGCAAAAAAAAGCCGTGCGTAATTGTGGCCAATGCTGAATTCCAGCAAGGAGGGCTGCTTCGCCGTGCTGCCCTCTACAAGCACCACCCCGCGCAGTGCACGCGATGGGCATTTTGATGGCACTTGGCGGACTCGCGGTGTCACCACGTGTTGTTGACACATCATGGGCTCGGTAACCTTTGGCTTCCGGAGCGGCAGTGCGGCTCTTTAAGGACCGCTGCTTCGCGACAGTTATTTATTAAGGACCCCACGTCTCGTATTCACCCACAGTGCATTGCGGCTCTTGACATAGTCAAGGTTGTTTTATTTTACTTCTTTTAACCAAATTCGACAAGAATGTCTCTTTCTTGTTATTTTTTGCTTTCCCGACCCCTGCCTGGATGAACACAAATCGATGCGAACGCTCAAGTCACGTACAGTATATCGAATTGCGTGTGCGAGAAGCTTAATTTATGATTGAATGTAGATTGAATGGTAATATTTAGAATAAGCAGTGCTCAATCCCACTGCTGGATATAGAAACACGCATATTTGACAATACTACGTAAAACATGAATAAAACAATGTAAGTACTCCCACTACGAGATAGAACATGGGCGAAATGTGGCTTTCACGCAGAAATATCTGTGTTTCGTGAAAAAAGTGGATATGGCTGTCTTCATTAGGCCCAATCTCAGCACTGGGGCATCTAAACTATAAGCTCAGAGACACGGAAGAAGAATACATCACGTGCATGGGGTCCATCCCTAATTCTTAGAAAAGTCTTAAATACCTGAGCCCGGAACGGCAATGAGCGGGCCAAAACCCCATAACCCCCACCTGCTCTGATGAGTCCTGTGTGCCTGATACCGTCGATTTCTCTGCTAATGCCATCCAGAAAGTCAGGATTTTGGCAATGTATAATGTGGAAGGATACGGAATAAAAAATATTTAATTAACAAAAATAGTGGATTTTTTGGTGCAACCCAGAATAATAAATAACATATTTTATTTTCATTCTAAAAATTATATTGATTCAACCCAGCGCTGAAACCAGCCAGGTATTCCCAGCATACACTGCACAAGAGGGATATCTGAATGTCACTTCAATGTCATCGGGGCTGTCTGCACTGACGTGCCGGGGACTATGCTTTACGCGTAAGCCCTGCAAGGTCATTACGCAGTCACAAGTGGCCCCGTGTCACTCCATCGAATGTGCAACACAGACGTTTAAATATAGAGGACACTAGACCCCGATACAATGACGCACAGCGGGCTCTGCGTACACTCATAGGTAGGTGGCTAAATGGGTGGATTGGTTGATGAGTGGCATGGATTGGCGAGCGGATTGGTTGGCGGATAGGTGGGCGGGTGGATTTACTGGTGGATTGGTGGGCAGAACGTGGGAACGTCGGTGGGTTGGTCGGTGATGATTGGTTATTGCAACGCGTACAAATGGTACGACAACGAGTTAAGTACAACAGTGGATTTCGCAACACTGCCCTCTGTTGTCCTTTATGTAGGCCTGCATACTTAAGAAACCCCCATTCGGGCACCGTGGTCACCCATTCCAGCACTACCTCGGCTCAAATCTAACCTTAGCATCCGTGATCCGACGAGATTGAGTGCACTCCGGGTGACTTGGCCATAGGCTTGTATAACGTAAATTGGATGTAAATCTGGGGAACAAATGGGGCGATCATTGTAAATGGTGGAGGACGGGCAGGCGGGGGGGGGAATTGGAGGGGGATGTACAGTTTGTTGAACTTCTTTCGCACCGCACGTAGCCAACCGCGATAATCGGAGGTGTGCAGGGGAAGGACAACAAACTAAATACAAAAATCAGTTATTAAGAAATGAGTTTGCAATCTTTATTTAAAAGTACATAGCTCCAGTGGCTTCCTAATAATGGACGGAAGAGCGTTCCAGACGGCCGTAGAAGCGCATCTGAGAGAACGCGATCATCTTTGTTCAATGGTTAGCTAAAATATGCTGCGAGGATGATCGGAGTTAGCGTGATGAGTTATTCTCCTTGAAAAACGTTTAAGCTTGGATTTCAAGAAGAGGAGAGAATCAGCCCTGCAGATGGCCCTAGAGGGGAGGGAATTCCAGGCAGCCGAGCAGCAAAAGAGATATTGTAGTGAGTTAATTTATACCGAATGTATGTATGTTGAACTTCGTTCGCACAGTACGTAGCCAACCATGCTAATCGGAGTTCATGCGGCAGACATATGTTGTCTGGGATGAAGCCGTAGAGGTCGCCGGTTGCTATTTTGTTTAAAAAAGCTTTCAATAATTTGTATAGTTTTATCTCCCGGCTCGGCAATTTAAACAACAATAATTACATTTTATATGGCCTCATTCATGCTAATTGCATCTCACGATGGGCAGGTGTTTTAAACCCACCCCGTCCGCTTAGCAAAATGTCAATGGCTACACCACAGGTCAGGTGTGGTTGGGTTTCTTCCACGTTTGGCCAGCATGCCAGATGAGGCCACAATCCCCTAGGAGTGGGGGATCTCGAGAAGGAGCCCCATCAGCTCCAGGAGGCCCCTTCCACCAGCCAAACAACAACAACAACGACGTGAGCAAGCAATCGCCGGGCTGCACTTGGAAATTGTACATGACTGTGTGTGAGAGTTTCCTACCGATTTGAATCTCGCTCGCACCGCAGGTGTCCTGGAGATTTTCTCTGTCGCCAGAGGAGTTGTGGGCATCTGGGGTGTCTCCAGTCGCCGGTTTTTGGCCATGAACAGGAAAGGAAAATTATACGCGACGGTAAGGACTCGAATAACTCAATCGTTATATTATCTATATACAAGGGAAATTTGTGAATGTGTGTCTGTTCGAAATGTTTAGCATACTTCCCGACATGCAACAAACTTGAAATTTGGCATGTGATTTAAAGCTTTCGTGATTGCAGGGATTCATATTCTTGGTTCTTTCGGTAAAGTCACGTAGAAGGGAAACAATAAAATAATACAAATATTAAACAATATTATGTATATTCTTAGTTTTTTCGGTAAAGTCACGTTGAAGAGAAACAACAAAATATATATAAAACAATAAAAATTCTCACGACGTTTCGACCATAACTCAAACGGTCATCATCAGGTGTGTCGGTTTGCATAAATGTATTTTGAAAACGGCAAATGTATTTATTTATATAAAAAAATAACGTTTGCGTCACGCGCAACGATTGGCTGTTTGCCAGGACTAGTCCATCTATTTTTTGAAAAGAGGAGGGGGGAGACGAAATTTGTTTTTATGTATGCTGTCTGAAAGCCACTGTAAGCGTGAACAATCAATCAAGAACTGAAATGATTTATCAAATCTTTCCAATGATTGCTAAGATAGAATCCATCTTCTCGGTTGAAATTGTCTCTGTGTTTGTATATGTGGATAGCCTCATGAACGAATCTCTCATGGCAGCCAGATGGCTTACAAAGAACCTCCGTCTTGGAAAAGTCAATGGCATGTGAGCCTACTGAATTAGAACAATGATCTGCTACGGCCGAGGTGTTGGTCCTACCGTGTTTAAGGTCTGCTTTATGTTCACGAATGCGGTCCGAGATATGGCGTTTGGTTTCTCCAATGTAACTACTACCACAGAGGCAACTTAGTTTGTAGACACCAGGGTATTGTATGTCCGGAATCACATCTTTTACAGACGGAACCAGATCACGGATTTTATGTAATGTGTTGAAACGGACCTGGATCTTGTGTTTATTCAAGATTTTGGAGATCTTTTTTGTGATCCTAGCAATGTAGGGTAAAGTGATGGTTTTGAAAGGCTCCTCAAGAGGGTTCTTCTTCATGGTTTGAGTGATAGCTTTGCGGATTGTATAGTCGGAGTAACCATTAGCCCTAAGAGCTTGGTGTACGTGCTTGAGTTCACTGCTTATGTGTTCCTGGTCGGATATGCATTGGGCTCTATGATACAGAGTCTTGATGAGAGAATTCTTCTGTGATGGATGGTGGTGGGAATCCGGTTTCAGATAAGCATCCGTATGGGTAGCTTTCCTGTAGACAGAGTGGCTCATTGAACCATCAAGTCTCTTTTTAATTAGGACATCCAAAAAAGGTATCTTGCCATCTATTTCGACTTCCATGGTAAATCTGATGGCTGGGTGTATGGAATTGATGTGGTCGAAGAATTGACACTTTTGTCATCTGGCCACATGGCCGGCCTGCTCTAGACCAATTCTTCGACCACATCAATTCCATACACCCAGCCATCAGATTTACCATGGAAGTCGAAATAGATGGCAAGATACCTTTTTTGGATGTCCTAATTAAAAAGAGACCTGATGGTTCAATGAGCCACTCTGTCTACAGGAAAGCTACCCATACGGATGCTTATCTGAAACCGGATTCCCACCACCATCCATCACAGAAGAATTCTCTCATCAAGACTCTGTATCATAGAGCCCAATGCATATCCGACCAGGAACACATAAGCAGTGAACTCAAGCACGTACACCAAGCTCTTAGGGCTAATGGTTACTCCGACTATACAATCCGCAAAGCTATCACTCAAACCATGAAGAAGAACCCTCTTGAGGAGCCTTTCAAAACCATCACTTTACCCTACATTGCTGGGATCACAAAAAAAAAGATCTCCAAAATCTTGAATAAACACAAGATCCAGGTCCGTTTCAACACATTACATAAAATCCGTGATCTGGTTCCGTCTGTAAAAGATGTGATTCCGGACATACAATACCCTGGTGTCTACAAACTAAGTTGCCTCTGTGGTAGTAGTTACATTGGAGAAACCAAACGCCATATCTCGGACCGCATTCGTGAACATAAAGCAGACCTTAAACACGGTAGGACCAACACCTCGGCCGTAGCAGATCATTGTTCTAATTCAGTAGGCTCACATGCCATTGACTTTTCCAAGACGGAGGTTCTTTGTAAGCCATCTGGCTTCCATGAGAGATTCGTTCATGAGGCTATCCACATATACAAACACAGAGACAATTTCAACCGAGAAGATGGATTCTATCTTAGCAATCATTGGAAAGATTTGATAAATCATTTCAGTTCTTGATTGATTGTTCACGCTTACAGTGGCTTTCAGACAGCATACATAAAAACAAATTTCGTCTCCCCCCTCCTCTTTTCAAAAAATAGATGGACTAGTCCTGGCAAACAGCCAATCGTTGCGCGTGACGCAAACGTTATTTTTTATATAAATAAATAAATATGCCGTTTTCTAAATACATTTATGCAAACCGACACACCTGATGATGACCGTTTGAGTTATGGTCGAAACGTCGTGAGAATTTTTATTGTTTTATATATATTTTGTTATTTTGTTGTTTCTCTTCAACGTGACTTTACCGAAAAAACTAAGAATATGAATTACTGCAGTCACGAAAGCTTTAAATCAAAATATTATGTATTTTTATTATTAGTTTTTACACCTGATGATGATTGCTAGTGTTGCAGTCGAAACGTCGTGAGAATTGTATTGTTTTATATTTTTATTATTTTATTCTTTCCCTTCTACGTGACTTTACTGAAAGAACCAAGAATATTTGGCATGTGGGTAAGTGAGCGGTGACGTCACATCTGTGATGTCACCGGCATGCGGCAGCGTCACGCAGTGTGCCTACTGACTTAACGCACCCCCCCCCCCCTAAACCCTCCGCGTAGGCCGTGTATTAATCCAAGACAAGAATCCAAGTCTCGGGCGAAGCCGGCTAGTAAAGCTAGTGTTTAATAAACGTTACTCGAAGCCCACAATGTGGAATTGTGTTCCTTAGAATGTGACGGGTGTTGTCATGTCCAGATGATGGCCAATGTAGGCCTACTTGAAGTAAAACACTTCCTCTTGCCGAACCGGTATTTAAACAAATATACCCATTTGTTATATAACAGGAAGATACTTGAACGCATGTCATAGCTGTATCGAAACCGTCCCTAAGTGTAACCTATATTTAAAATTGTAATGATAATTGCAACATTGCATTCTCAATGCCCTCCAATGAACACGACCTCGGCACTGCATCTGCTACACGACACTTAATAATGATAACAATATATCGGGTACTGATTTTTGTCAGGCCTCCTCACACCGTGCCGGTCATCGATGGTAGTTGTTTCACCATATTTCACCTGTCTGGTCACTGCGGGTTGGTGAAGGGGGGAGATGCCTAGGATCGGCTTAGATATCCCTCAAAAACTGACTATTTAACACGATTTTTGTTCCTGGGTAGTGTTATTTTCTAATTGCTTATGCCTCAAAAGTATAGAAAATGGCTATTATTTCCCACAAACTTTGCTTTTGTGACCAGGACTTTATTGAAGGAATGACACAAATGCACACCACATTTTCTCATTGAAAATAGGTAAATTTCAAAACATCACTGTCCTGGTCACAAAAGCAAAGTTTGTGGGAAATAATAGCCATTTGCTGTACTTTGGAGGCATAAGCAATTAGGAAATAACACTACCCAGGAACAAAAAAAAAACATGATTTTGTTACACAGTGAATTATTGCTTTGACCTGTAATCATGATCATCACGATCCATGGGCAGATAGGCCGTAGGTGTCCCCTCCACATTTCATCATTTGTTTCCACTCCCCTCTGTCTTCTGCCAGTATGCTCAAGTAGTGCCGAACCAAGGTTGCCCGCTTAAATGCGCAGCGCAATAGCCACCGTGCCACCATAGCGAACCATAACGCGACAAAATCCAATCCAACCCGCTTAATTGCGGCAGACTTATCGCGCAAGCGTAACAAACAAACAAAAAAACCAGATCGTCATTGGTTTCCCCCCCCCCCACCACCCACCCCGCCAACGGACGTCGCCTCTCGGCGTGTGCGTCTCCTCTGCACAGAGCTCCTTCACGGACGAGTGCCTCTTCGCGGAGAGCTTCCAGGAGAACGGCCACAACACGTACGCTTCCGAGCGCTACGGGGCCGCCGCGGGGTCAGGCGGCGAGGGCGCCTGGCTCGTGGCCCTCAACAAGCTGGGCCGCGCCCGCCGCGGCACGAGCCCCCGGGTACGCCGCCAGCACGCCTCCACGCACTTCTTGCCCCGGCTGCGGCGTGTCGCGGCCGCCGGCGAACGAGGCTTTAGGGTCGTGAGTTCGAGCCCGAGACGCGTGCCGCCCGTGCAGGCCGAGACGCGAGCGGGCGCCGCCTCCGAGCACGGGCAGATCGAGACCCCCGGCGGCAGCCGCGGAAAGGAGGTCGCGAAGTACCTGCCGAGATTCCGGTTTGGTTAAAGTTCGTGCCTCGTGCTCTTGAGCTTGTAATTCTTCTGTGCGGTGACAACACGCTCCCCTTGCGCATCATTACACAAAGTGCGCGTGAGAGTCTCCCGAGGATTACTTCGCCCCCCCCCCCCCCCCCACGCCACGTTGGAATCCCATAATCATCGCGCCCTCAAGGTGATGATGACGACGACACGATCTTTAAGATGGTCTTGCCATTACGTTTGCAGGTTAAAAAGCTAATTGCCATAAGATTTGCCTTATTAGTGTAAGTAGTGATACTGCTTTCCACCAATGTTAGCTGCGGCCTACGAATTTAACTCGGGTAGCTGTGTTCAGAATGCAATTGCCCTATGTATGTTGAACTTCTTTGGCACCGTACGTAGCCAACCGTGCTAATCGGAGGTGTGAAAGCTAGCTTACTACTGCGCCACCGCTCATCGCCGTAACAAACAGGTGTGTTATTTTCCTCACAACACATAGGCCTTCGCGTGTCAATCGGCAGAGTAGATGTTCAGGTGTTTATTACTCAGAGCGGCACAGCACGTGCACGATGAGCTTAAACTCCGTCTCCATAGCTACACGACTACAACCACAATTGGTTAAGCGCCGTGGAAGATGATGCCCGGCATGATAAGCCCCGCCGGGAATTCGCCTGGATGCAATTTGCGTCATGCCATGTTCCGCTTGAAAGGCGTACGGCGATGGCGGTGGTGGCTAATTACCAGCTGGAATCGGTCTTCGGCGAGGTTAAGTAAATAGCGCTTTAATACCCAGCAGCCCACCCGCGACCCTCACCCGCACCGCGCTGCTATAATTATAGCTGTAAGCACCAACATGAAAAACACTGATTTATAGCTTTGGCGTGGTGGGGGGGCGGGGAAGTGCGGGTTGCCTGTGTCGTCACATCCGTTCGACTGTGACGTCATCGCGCGGCGGTGACATCGTCGCGCGTGGGAATAATGCATGGCGACACAAGTTACGAGCCAATCAGGAGGCCTGACATTTTCGTCCAATCACGAGGTGGGCGGGGGGGGGGTGGGGGATTTAAGCGTGTCTGACTGGCTGGTGAGGTGCAGAGTAGAAATGCCCAGCTGTGTATCGTCCGGTGAACGCCAAACGGGCGGTGAATTCTCACTAGTTGCACACCCACGTGGGATAGACTTGTAGCTGTGCTCACTGGTACGGCGAGGCTGCGGGTTTGCGTAAAAAAGGCAGGAAGTTTACGTTCGAACACAGCGCTTCATACGACAATCACTCGCCAACCGCGGACTTGCCAACCGTGGATTCATGTATACACGGTTGATGGTTTGTATACTAAATCAACCAACCGCGGCCTGGTAATTTGAGTATCCACGGGCAGGCACGGGCCTGCAACGCGCATTTACAAATTTCGCGGGGCCGCGGTTCCACTCCGGGCCACAGCACCACCCATGGCCACCCGTGGCGTTGCGTAACTTATCAGCTGTCCGTCTGTTTTGTTGTGCTGTCCAGTAGGGTAATTCTCGAAGCACAAATACCGCGTCGCATCATCGCATTCACATGAACCCTCTCCCGTTCCGAGACGCCTGCAAGTTGCGGTGCGGGTATCCCGTTCACCGCTGAATGTTGGAACGCGCAAGCGGTTAGCGTTCATTTTATTTCGAGACGTAGCGCCGTTGTTTTTAAAGACGTCGTACTCACCGCGGAGTACTGCAGCGACACAACCTCACTCGATGATAGCTGGCACCAAACTGGGTCACACGCCCTCCCGCATGGCCTTGTGCACGCCTCGGTAAGATACAATCTAATTATTTAATGTTTTCTTCCGATTCCTTTCCGATGACGTACGCCTGCCCACTCATCTGTCATTGATGACCCGGAGGAAGAGGGGAGAGTGGGCTGAGCCCCTCTTTCTATCCACCCCTTTCCCCCATCATTCTATTTTAGTTTGTTGAAGGACAACATACATACATAGTCACAATCATCGTTAATATTAAATGTATATAAAGTTAATGTAATGTTTATTTACGTTTTGTTATGTTATTGTGTAATGTACTATATTTTACTCGGTGTGATGGTGAATAAACAGGCAAGTTAGTTAAGTTATGACGAATCTGATCATGGCCGTGGATCCCCTAACCCCCTCTTTCCCATAGGCCCTGTACTTTACCAACCGCGGATTTGCTTACCTTTTCCAGGAACCTAACCCCCGCGATTGGCCAAGGGATTGCCGTGTTAGCGTAAATAAAAAAACGACTAAAACATTCCAAATGCGTGTATGTGTGTTTGGGGAGCGGCACTCTAGTGGTTAGCGCACTGTGTGTGTGTGGGGAGCGGTGGCACAGTGGTTAGCACACTGTGTGGGTGTGCAGGTGTGCGTACACGTGTGTGTGTGTGCACACGTGTGCTCATCGCTAACTTAGTGGGGAGTGGTAGTGCAGCGTTTAGCGCGCTGCGCTACGAACCCGGCCACTCGAGTTCGATTCCCGCTCACGGCCGACACCAGTGACGATTATCTGAACCGGTTCTGGGCCTCCCCTAGGTCTACTCAGCCTCAAATTAGTGCTTGGTGCGGTGCGTAAAAAACATCGCCACTGGGGAGACAAAGGCGGCCGGGCGTGGTGCTGGCCACTCACCCCCTCGTGTACAGTTCCGGCCTTGAATGGGTCCTCGCTAACAGCACTTTCCCCAACATTCTGTATCAGGCTAAACGGGGGATCTTTGTCTTTGTTCATCGCTACCTTTGTTGGGTGTGGGAGCGTGCCGTGTGAGCTGGAGTGGACTTCGATCCCCGGCGACTCGAGTTCGATTACCTCTCGTGGGCAACAACCGGTGACGTTTACCTGAAGCGGTCATGGACCTCCCCTAGGTGGACTCAGCCTCAAATGAGTACCCGGTGTGTGACCATCACCGCTGGGGATACAAAGTTGGCCGGGCGTGGTATTTGCCACCCACCCTCTCGTGTGCCGTGCCGGCCTTCGTCGGTGCTACTCGCGACCCGCACTTGCCTGTTGCAGGCTACCCGGGGGATCTCTGTCTTGTGTTGTATTGTGTGTTGGTGCGTGCACGTGCCTGTCGGGTGTCATTGCTCGCGTGAACTCAGGGGTTAGCGTGACAGCGCGTCGAACACTGAAGAGTCCTCATGCTGCTGCTGACTGCTGCTGCTGCTGCCTGCTGCAGTTTGAACCCCGCGTGGCAGGCAAGCAGGCAGGGAGGGAGATGATAATGGGGGCCACGCTGCCAGAAGGGTACACGGGGGGTGGTGGGGGTGTAAGAGGGGGCATCGTGCACGGGTCATCGCACGCGCTGCCGTTCGTTCCAAACAAAGTGTTGACACGAGCGCCAAGCGGCGTTGCGGTCACAAGTGTGGAAGTCTTCGGCCGTGCGCTCCGCTTGCGGGACGCAGGCGATGGGTCGCCCACGAGCCTTGGCTAATCCCTCTGCGCGTTTTAGATGTAGCATCCCACGTGCGTGATGTGCACCAGCCCAGCTGTCTACCCACCGTGTGTCTGTGTGCGTGGTGTGTTTGTGTGTCTACGTGTGGGGATCGGCAAACCCGAGTTCGATTCCCGCTCACGGTCAACACCGGTGACGATTATCGGAACCTGTCCGGGGCCTCCCTGGGGTCGACTCAGCCCAAAATGAGTACAGTGCCTGGTACGGTGTGTAAAGTAAAAAATAAATCATAGCCACTGGGGAGATAAAGGCGGTCGTGTATGGTGCTGGCTACCCACACCCTCATATGTGCTTGCTAACAGCACTTGCCACAACAGTGTTTAAGGCTATACGGGGAATCTTCGTCTTGGTGTGGAAAGCAGTAGCGCAGTGGTTTGCGTGCATCCCAATACGAGCCCAGCCCACGTGAGTTCGATTGCCGGCCACGGCTAACATCGATATTGTGAACATAACAATTGTACGATACACATTCAGTATCTTGAATGGAACCTACAAGTACACGTACAACCCTTGTATTCGTCCACTGCTGGATGAGGGCTACCCCCAGCTCCGTGCAGGTCATAAGGGGGTTGTTTGACCAGACTCGATTCTCACTCGGGGCCAACACCAGTGACGATTGTCTGAACCGGGCATGGGCCTCACCTAGATTAACTCAGCCTCAAATGAGTACCTTTGCGCGGCGTATAAAACATCAGCAAGTGGGGAGACAAAGGTGGCCGGATGTGTTTCTAATCACAAACACCGCCGTTTCGTGCGTCGTGCTCGCCTTATAGGTGCTCGCTAACAGAACTTCCGCCAACAAGCGAGTGAAAGGTGACATGGGGGATCTTTGTTGAGTGTGTCTCTGCACTCCTCATATGATGGCTACGAGCGCATCTGACACGCAAATAATTTCTCATTTTGTCTCGCTCCTGGCCGTTGCTGATTAATAATGAGATTGTAAATAGGAAATAATGTTTCATCTGTGAGATTACTATGAATTGGAATGTTTCTTTACCATGTAAAGCAGTATATCATTTCGTGCTATGATGGAACAAGTGTGAGTTGGTCTGTTACTCTGTCCAGAATAAAAAAAAGTTTAAAGCCATTTTTTGAGCGTGTAGCATTTGCGGAGCATTCATATTCAATTAGTTATTGATTTCAATGTATTTGTAAATGTGAGTAAACATGTTTATTTAAAATTATGGAGACATTACAGGCGGTCTCCGATTTACACCGTTTACGATTTACGACCAACATTTACGACGTTTATATAATGCAACCGTGGATCGATTTACGACGCACAAAATCAATTTACGACGCATATTCCAACATGACTCTGGACACATTTTAACAGCGATGGCACAGTATATTTTTCAAGTAGTGGTACCCCAAACTTTCGCAGCTCTTAAATTCCCTTTTCACACCATCAATAGGGAAACTCCCCCCTCCCACCCCCCACGCCAACCGGCATGTGCACTTGCAAGTACACCACTTCTATGCTAAGTCGGGCAGTCAAATGCTCATTTTTATGCTAATTCCTTTGTCAAGGCACCTTGTTTCCTCGCACACAGCTTAAAGGTCGCGGTCTGAGCGTGGCTGTGTTCCACTCCAGCGCTGTCCTCGAGACAGCCTGATCCCTTCACCTGATGAAGGCCGCTTGTGTTGTGGCCGAAACGTCGTGATTTTTTGTTGTTGTTTTATTTTTTACCTACGTGACTTTACCGAATAGAACCAAAGAGTATGGATCATTGCAGTCACGAAAGCTTTAAATCTAGAAGCGATGTTTCTTCTGTGAACGTAGTGGAAAGTCGGTGAGTTGTTTTTATTTTCAAGAGGTCAAGTCAGTTCAGCGGAGACAGAAAGAAGACGAGGTCATACTAAACATTACAAACTTTTCAAACAAAATTTGCTTTAGTCATTGTTTTTTTCGTTAAAGTCACGTATGTAGAAATACCATAAAATTATATTAAAATAAATCAATCACGACGTTTCGACCACAACACAAGCGATCTTCATCAGGTGTAAAAAATTAATAGCGAGGGAGCAACACATAGAGAGCGTTAAACTGCACGGAGGTAAATACAACAAGAAGATGAGAGACGAGAATTCAACAAACCTAAGAAAAAAATATGTGATGCAAAACCAGACAGAATTGTAAAGGTAACTTCCCCGTAGAAGTGTGTTAATAAAAAAATAAAGCTTTCGTGACTGCATAAATTACTCATTGGTTTTTTCACGTAATTTTTCTTAGTTTTGTTTAATTCTCGTCTCTCGTCTTCTTGATGTATTTACCTCCGTGCAGTTTAACGCTCTCTATGTGTTGCGTTGATGTCGCCCTATATGCTCCCTCGCTATTTGTTTTTTACACCTGATGAAGATCGCTTGTGTTGCGGTCGAAACGTCGTGATTGATTTATTTTAATATAATTTTATGGTATTTCTACATACGTGACTTTACCGAAAAAAACTATGAGTAATTTATGCAGTCACGAAAGCTTTAATTCTTTATTAAAATTTGCTTTGTTTCAATGTTGGTGATTGTGTTTTTATGTTCGGTACTGTACTATTTTACACGTGTCCCGTGAATTATCGCACTTGGGTCTGTTGACTAACATGCATTAAGAATGGATAATTCGGGGGCGCTGGTGCAGGCACCACTCGTGACTGATGTTATCTCTGGCCAGGAATTGAGATTCAGCCCCATTCTCAAGTGCAGTGAGTTGATGGTCTCAACCCAGTCAGAAATTACTCTTTTAAACAAGCATAATATTTTTTTTTATTCAATGATAAATAAAGTCACCACACTCGTTTTTCTTGATTGCCATGCGACGAACAACCCTACAGCCGACAGGGCATGCACTGCCCAGTGTGGATTCGAGGCAATTCAATGGACCTCAAATCCAGTGATGTCATCTCGCAGAACTACTTCTGTGATCTCGGTTCGTGCCCCTCGATTTTGGAATCGCATCGCCTCCCTGACTGCGTCGACATTTCAATGTCGCTTGAAGCTGAGTTGCATGGAAACATTGATTAATATCCTGTACCAAAAAATAATCCCTGGAAATTGTTCGATTCGGCTATGTCTAATCTCACGTGTTGATTGGGCAATGTCTAATCTCACGTTTTTATTGGGCTGTGTCTAATCTCACGTTTTTATTGGGCTATGTCTAATCTCACGTGATGATTGGGCTATATCTAATCTCACTTTTTGATTGGGCTATGCCTAATCTCACGTTTTTATTGGGCAATGTCTAATCTCACGTTTTTTATTGGGCTATGTCTAATCTCACGTGATGATTCGGCTATGTCTATTCTCACGTTTTGATTGGGCCATGCCTAATCTCACGTTTTTATTGGGCAATGTCTAATCTCACGTGCTGATTGGGCTATGTCTAAGCTCACGTTTTGATTAGGCTATGTCTAAGCTCACGTTTTGATTAGGCTATGTCTAACCTCACGTGTTAATTTGGATATGTCTAACCTCACGTGTTGATTGGGCTATGTCTAAGCTCACGTGTTGTTTGGGCTATGTATAATCTCACGTGTTGATTGGGCTATGCCTAATCTCACGTGTTTGATTGGGCTATGTCTAATCTCACGTGTTGATTGGGCTATGTCTAATCTCACGTTTTGATTGGGCTTTGTATAATCTCACGTGTTGATTGGGCTATGTCTAAGCTCACGTGTTGTTTTGGCTATGTCTAAGCTCACGTTTTGATTGGGCTTTGTCTAGTCTCACGTTTTGATTGGGCTTTGTCTAGTCTCACGCTTTGATTGGTCTATGTATAATCTCACGTTTCCCCCTGCCTTTAGCCAATTTATTAAAAATGTTATTACATTTTGAGCAAATTTCTGCACTGTCTCCACTAGCCCAATCTCGTCACTCTCCTTGCCAGTAAATATATTTTATTTTCTTATACGTTTAACATTCGCATTCTTAGCTGGATTCAAAAATGCGCGTTAATATATGGTAAAACAATAATTGAGATGCGTTTAGAAATTAACCATTCAAGACATTCTCTTGTATTCTAAATTATTTCGTGTACAACGCAGGTCGTACTTGCAAGGGAGGCAATGTCATATCACGCGTCTCCACGGACCTACATTTAACCTCCTCGTTAAATGGTGTATACTGGCCACTTCTACCTAACACTGGGGCGAAGTTACACTTGGTTCTGCGAGAATCGGACATTCCTTCATATCGTGTCATGACGCAGATAGCCCAGCTGGAATATAATCTGGAGGAGGGGAGAGGGGGGGGGGGGAGGAAAAACATTGTTTGAAGAAATAAACCCACGTAGCGAGCTTCTATCTATTCGCCTTGTCAGTTGGGTCACAGCCAATCGGTGGGGGCTCAATCTTTGGTTGGTGTGACACACAGCGGATGGTGGACGTGCGTCAGCTGAGACAGCCAGGGCCTTTTAGAAGCCGGGCCGCATAGCAGAAGCTAATTTGCGAGCTCCGTTCGGAAATACAACAGCAGTGGCAGCGACATTTTTTTTTGTATATAAACTGTTTTTTTTGTGTGCCTGATCCCCGGCAGTGCCGCAGTGCATGCAGTGACGTCCTATAGGAGGAAATTGTCGAATTCCGCGGCCCGATAAGGCGACGGGGAGGTCGATTCCTGCTTTCAGTCAGCCCTCGCAGGCAGACGCAATCCCGCGCTATCACAACAAGCCGTGCATTTCGGACGATTTGAAGAGAAAGGAATTCTCTTTTTTTTTTTCCCTGAACTACCATTTTTTTTTTGCTGCTATTTCTTTTCTGTTGCATTTTATCACACTGGGACTCGGTGTGGTTGACGTGTCATACACACGCATGTGGTGGCTTCTTATCAGTTAATGAGCTGCAGTTTCCTCCAGCAAGTTAAATATTTACACATTTACACGTGTTTCGCCCGCTCGCCCGCTTCGTCTCGAACGTCGACGGCGAGTGGCATGCCCGCTGCGAGCGACTTCTGAAGAGCTGTCGGCCCCCTGAGCAAGCTATACTGCAAGGAAATAAACTGAGTTTGTGTGTGTTTTTTTTTAAATGTAACAATAATGTACGGGTGCATGTGTCATCATTGACGTGAGCACGCCAAAAGCCAATACGTGTTCCGCGTATTAAATTGGCTTGCCGGTCAATTTTATTTTTGCATTGGTCTGGTTTTATTGTTCCAATATGAATTTTTACAGCTCGCAAGAACGCCATCGGCAAAGGCTCTATGGGGGAGCGGGTAACGAGGGGGGGAAGTAGCGACAGATATTGAAATAAATAGGAGTCACGGTTTTCATAGTAGCGAAAGTTATGACAAGCACGTGAATATATATATACTCTTGGCTTGTTTTGCATGTTTTAAATTGTACAATACGTCACACGCGTAGGCCAAAGCAACTTCGTAATACCGTCAAGCGCTTCAAATAATAATAATGATGACAATAATAATATCATGGAAACAATCTTACACACACACTCGCGCGCGAGTTTTAAATAAGGTACGCGTTAGTTTCATCTTAAACTTAAATTATCAATCTACTGTACACATTTACATTGTCCTGAGATACAGAAAAACATACGCGGGTCACATATATAGTATGCACACTTATAAGGCGACTGGTGAAGTTGTCACGGTATAGAAGCCGTTGTTACGTTATCATCCAGCGGTGACTTTTGGTGGCTGGAGTATTGTGTGATCGATGAACTTTAAAGTTTAATATATATAAATAATATTTTGCACGGGTTGAAAAGATTAGGCCTATATATATACAGAATACACGCGGTGTTTGAAAGCGTACTGACATGTACATTCATAATTTATAGATAGCACATTTTTTTTAGCCGATAAAATAAAAAACAATTATACAAATGAATCAAAATAATTTACAGCCTTTTTTTTGTCAATCCACTGCTCGATGAAGGTCACCACACGATGCCGTGTGTCGGTGGTCATGGGGCGGTTGTTTGACCATACTTCACCTCGCTGGTCAATGTGGGTTGGTGAAGGAGCGGGGTTGGGGGACCACTACTTGTTCCGATATCACTCACCGCTGATGTTAGTGTGCTCGTCTTATCAGCCTATAGGGTTAGATAACCGTGTCCTTAATAAATCATTTGCGTCCGCATAAAGGTGTTTTGTAACGCAGTTTATGATTTTTACAATAGCTTAAATACGTGATCATACATCTTGGACGTAACAAATCATATACATCTATAACTGTGTGTCAGTATCGTACCAATAAATTAATCTTCGCATTGAAGCGCACGTAACTCTTGTTCCATGTTGCCTATACGGGCATGCAAATACCTCCATTGCCAAACATCGCCACTATCATCATCATCGTCGTCATCGGCAATGATCTATCCACAGCTGGATGAAGGCCTGCTTCATCCACGATGGAGGCTTCCTTCATCCGGCAGTGTCGTCGACATGCCTCGACGTGCTATGATGCCACGATCCGTCTCGCTCCCGATCGCGCAAGGTGCACCTCATCGCTCCGTCGCTGCTCCGACGGCCGTCCTCTCGTGCGTGGTTCTTCTCGCTGCCTTACTGTCCCCGGGTTCTCGTCCGTCGATCATCGTCCCCTGACCCTAGCCACGTGTCCTACCCAAGCACGCCCACCGCGTTGGCATGTTCATGAAGGTCGGGAGTAGTGAGATCCAAACCAAGGACCCAGATGTCACTCAACGCTGATGTTAGCCGTGCCCGGGAATCGAACTTGGGTTGCCAGTTTCATAGCGCCACTTGCGCTAGCCATTGTCAGTTTATTTTATACCTACTACGTGACTTTACTGAAAGAACCGAAGAGTATGGATCCCTGCAGTCACGAAAACTTCAAATCTAGATCGTCAGTTTCGTAGAGCCACTGGGCTAGCCATTGCGCCACTGTTCCAAAGCGAACGCCGATTATCCAGGCAGCGTATGGTTAAATGTGACCTCTTCTTTGGTTCTTTCGGTAAAGTCACGTAGAATGAGAGTACGTGACTTTACCGAAAGAACCAAAGAAGATGAATCCTTGCAGTCACGAAAGCTTTAAATCGAAATTTAAATGTGACCTGTTCGACGCGCTGACATGTCTAGAAGTTTCGAAACCATTCGATATGAAGCGTGCTCGACTTTTACGCATTCTACACAGACTATAGTGACGAGTCAACGAGAGATGAATGTTCGTCAGTTCATATCTGACTCTAAACTACGTTCGGTTACAGGGACAATTGCAATTTTACGCCTTCACTGCCAACAAGGCCAAGAGCCGATTACCAAATCATGCAGCTACGAGATCCCTAAGACGAAGACATGAGCTTCATTCCGCAGCTGGAAACTTCTGCTCGGACCTTTAATTAACGCTTTCAAACCTGAAGGTTCAATTTCGAGTCTGCCGTTTGGTTCTCCGTCCGTGCGCAACGGGCGGAGGGAGGGCACGTTCGCTCTCGTAATGACAATTCAATTGGGAATTCAACTTCGGTATAAAGTGGCGTTGTTATGCGGGGCTCACCCTTTTGAAATCAAGGTCGCGTCGATCACGGAGTTCTGGTTCGCGCTTTTCCACGCAGATCTGAGCCCCGTGATCTCTTCGGTGCCTACGGCTGCCGCGAGCGATGCCGCTATTATTGCTAATTAAACATTTCCGAGGACCAACGCGCGTTGGAGCGAGCGACAAAAGCCCACGGCGTACGCACGCCACCGTTTTCTTCTTGCCCGATTCACATTTGGATGCGCTCACTTTGAATTGCACGCGCACTCAAGCCCCGAATGTGATTTCGCGGCACGGCGATCTGGGCCGGACCATTGTTAGGCTGAAGCTCAAATTTTCTACGGAAACTAAACCGGGTGGTGGCTCTGCTCTTAGCGCTGCGCGTGGCTATCCCCAAGGTGCTGTCAACCACGCGGCCCCATTCCGTGCCTCGCACATCTGCTCGCGTAACATCGGTCCGCTTCGGATGCACACAATTTAAACAGCAACAACAACAACAGCATACGCAAAAAGGTCCTCCGTGCGGAACAATCAGCAGAAGCCCCTTTAGTAAATGGGGGACGCTCTGCAAATAACGCGCGGGCACCGCTATCTCCAAATGTGCCCGCAGATTGTCTCTGCCAGAGGCACTGACGCCAAGCAGATGACCCAGGCACGAGACAGCCCACTTATTTCACAACGCCTTGGCGCACGCTTACAGACACCTTACAGATGGCCAGCGGGCGAGATAGTCGCAGACAAAACGCGCGCTCTCACTTCGACCATCAGGTAAACAGTGCACGTGGCGGCTTAGCACTATCTGCAGCCGCATTCCGACACCACCATGCCCTCGTACTTATACTTGTACGTCACGACGCCCGCCTCGTCCCTGTACAGGATGGAGATGGAGTCAAGCTTCGTGGGCACGCAGCACGCCTTGGCCACCTTGTCCGGGTGCGCCAGGTGCATGAGCGTCTTCACGATGGCGTGTTTGGTGGGGCTGAGGTGGTCGGTCAGCGGGAAGATGCACTGGCCGGTGCACTCGTACGCGTCGTAGCCCGGCGGCGCGATAATCCAAGAGTCCCATCCGATCTCCTTGAAGCTCACGAAGAGCGGCGTGCGCTTGCAATAGTTTCTCTTCGCGTGCCGCCGGTACCTCGACAGCGTCTCGTAGCTCAGGATGTTCTGGCGCACGTTCAGCACCTCCTCCACCACGTCGCCGAGCCCGTGGGCCGCCGCCTCGCCCGCGCCGAGCACCTCCTGCAGGAGGAGCGGCTCCTCTCGCTCGTGATCGATCATCTCGTCCAGCTCCGCCTGCCTCTGCGTAGCCCTGCCGCGACTCCGGTCGTCGGAGAAGACGACGAGCAGCGGCTCACCCGGCTGAGGCTCGGAGGCCGCCGTCGCCCCGACGCCGTCGCCTTGGCCGTCGGAGCTTCTCCGGTACCTCGCCTCCTCCAGCGTCTCGATGTGCACCTCCAGCCTGTGCGTGCTCTTCCCCGTGCGGGCCCAGCGCTGCACGGTGCTCGTGATGTCGAAAGTCTCCCAGGCGCCGCCGCCAGCTGCGGCGTCTTCATCGCCACCGCCGCCGCGACCCACGACCGTGCGAGACGCGAGGAAGGAGAGTACCGTGCGACCCGACACCGGGCTGCCTTCCTCCTCCTCCTCGTCGCACACCTCGTACACGGACACGCTCCTCTGCAAGGGCTTCGCGTGCTCGGGCAGGAGGCGATGGTCGCTGTCCAGCACGGAGCGCAGCTTCAACTCGGCCATGGTGACGAGCTCGTGCGGCGGGAGCGACACGTTAAAGAGCAGGGCGTGCTGCCTCACGGCGTCTTCCTCCGTTCGGAACGAGGACGAATCTGGGACGGGCAGAGGGCAACGGGCGGCACGCGCGGGTGTTTGTGTGAGACGGGGCGCGTTTTGAGACTGGGAGCTATCGATTGAAGTCCACGCTGATCGTGGAGTAATCTGTACGTTCAGTGAGATAAACAGTTGTTGTTGCAGACTGAAGGCGATGTTTCAACGTAATGCGTAAAATGTGTGTCGTACACCCTCCTCCACCCGTCAGGGCCAATTAATAAAGGTGCCACGTGACAACTCTGTTAATTGTTTGACGTGCGTTGCCTTTCTGTCGACAATGTTTGGTAAGGCTCACTACTTGTTATTAACCATTTCGCTTTGGTGCAGTGTATAGCCCAATTAGCCAGGACGCAAGGCCCTTCTGGGTAAAAGGGTAACGCTTGATTATACTTCACCACTCTAGTCAGAGATGGTAGGTGAAGCTATTGGCGAGATGTGGGGGAAGGGGGACGGGGGGTTAGATCCCCTGATGTTAGCCGTGACTCGGAATCCAACTCATGTCGTTGGATTAATCGTTGTGTTCGGGTCATTGGCGCCAGCTCTCCCCAGCATATATACACAGATATATTTACCAACATAAACTGCTCATGCCACTCACGCTAGGCAAATGCATTTATACAATGTAGAAATAAACAAACAAACAAACTATAATTTCAACACGTATATGCTACGCGTCCGTCATTGCCAGCAAACTTAACGTGGTATTGTTATATTTATATTATATTTTGTATGCAGGCCGTAATGTACGCGTTGTGTGTTTGCGTATTGTTTTATAGTCGCGAAACGTCGAGAGTCGAACGTGAACAGTGTCACGTTCTTGTCTCAATCGTCATATCGAGGCTCCGGTAAACACCGCGAGTAAGCAAAGAGACACGAGGTTAGGGGATGGTGGTGGAGTGTGCACGTGGGGTGTGTGAACACTGAGCGCGCAGTCACCCCGTGAACAACTGCCCACCGCGCCTTCCCGGTCTGTCCATTCTGTTCCGTTCAACGAGAGAGAGAGATCGTTTTGGCAAACGTCGGGTCACGTTGCTCGAGCGTAATTAGCGCAATGTCCGACGAGCATCTACAGCGGCCCTGCGGTCGATCTACCCGCTGGACGAGTGCCTCCGCACGACGCTCCGCTCGCGAGGGTCGTCTGACCCAGAGCCCACAGCGACGGTCAGTTGGTGAAGGCAGACGCCGGAAGCATGCTCGACAACCCATGTATTTACCGAGCATATCTTGACAATGCATACATACATATAAACAAAACAAAAAGGGCCGAGCGGTTTTGGGTCTGGCGGCGTTTGAATGTCTGCATCGCAGGACCGTGTGAGATGACAACAGCTTTGGGAGGCCTTCATCCAACAGTAGATTGACATGACTGCTGCTGCTGACGGTGTCAACTCGATTAAAGTTGCGAAAATCACATGAGACTGTGGTTTTTACCCCCCACCCCTCCTCTTACATATTATCCAAGGTGTTTAGGCATTTCAGTAGGAATATTCAACTTCGAAGCCTGACCCACCCCCCCCCCCCCCCCCCCAAAACATAACAGCGTTTTGCGACGTTGAATCGATCCCTGCTGAATTTTGACCCCAACACGCAAACCCCCCACCCCCCCCCCCCCCCGCGACGCAACCCGAGGCTCACCCACCTTCGTTCTTGAAGCTGCGCACGATGTTCGACGACGGCATGGACGATCTGTCATTGGCGAATCTGTTGTACAGGTCGACCATGAACTGCGGCGGCGGTTCGGACGAGGAGGGCTCGTGGAGAGGAATACCGGAAAGATTGAGGCTCCTCAGGAACTCCTCCTTCATGCTCTCCACGATGGACGCCAGCCGCTCGTCACGCCGCGTCTCTCCGGACGGACGGGCAGCCGCCCCCGTCTCCTCCTCGTCGACGGCGGCGGCGGCGGCGGCTGCAGCGGCGGCGGCGGCGGCACCTCGTCGCTCCAACTGCCGCCTCTCGGTCGGTTCCCCGCCATTGGCCTCGGCCACGGGCTTGCAGGACACGGAGCACACGAGGAGATTGAAGGTGTGGACGAGGAACAGCAGGGTTGAGGCTCTGCGCATGGTTCTCCCCTGCGGTGGAGCGACGGATCTGCGCTCCGCCGGGGGCTGCGTTTGTCTCGCCGTGTGTGCGACTCAACTCGCACGCTCGGCCGCGGTACAACGGGATCCCCGCGGCAGCGAGCGAGTGCTCACTTATCTTCTGCCGATGAATTCTGTCGCGCTTATCTGCTGCTCCCGTCCCGTTTAATGAACTTATTGTAAACAGCTGACGCTAATGGAAGGAAGAAGCCACGATGGGCTGTTTTTATTTATTTATAAGAAATGTATTTTTTTATTTTCGCTCGCCGCCACCACCCCCCCCCCCCCTGCCCTGCCCGCTCCCCACCACTCAGCCACTCACTCACTGCTGTAACTGAGACTGTGTGGACAAGTATTCTCAGCGAGGCAATGATGATGATGATGTGCTCATCGTTGTGACATTGTTTTATGACTTGCGGGGGGAGGTGACCGCCTTTGGCGAACGACGCGAAGTATAATACCGGGAGGGCAAGCGGTCGTGTGAGACAGAGAGAGTGGGAGAGGTCACCAGCTCCTCTCACTTCACAACGCGTAACGGGCACGCGGTGCTCGCCGTACGGGACGTCACTTTTATCTCCTTACGCAGCGGCAGTGGGGGGCGGCTATGAAGGTAAAACGGGTGCAGCAGGGTTACAGGCGGGAGAGGTCGGCACGTGTTATCTGTTAACATTCTTCCGATGAGCCGTGTGGAAGCGTCTCATTGCGCAGACATTTGCGCCATTTCAACATTTTTGGCTTCCCGTGACCCAACGGATGTGAGAGTGTCGCCCAGTGCTATTTTGCGAGGCAAAAAAAAAATCATCTCATAAACGCGTGGTTTAAGCTGCCCCCCTGGAAATTCAGCTCGTCAACCGAACTTCAACGTCTTGAACAATAGCAACGACGTCGCCAACTCGGTCGCACGTGACCCGCGCGAGGTTGTGCGTCGGGAGAAATGTAATTTAGGCCTCCCATGAGAGACAATATCTCTTCCACACGTGAGAGCGGACGCATCATAGACACACTTAGTAACCGATTCATGACCTGCAGCTGTTTGTTAATCCACTAATGTTCGTATGTAGAACTTGTTTCGCATCGTGCGTTGCCAATCGTGCGCATCAGAGGTTAGCACGGATGGATGAATGCCCTCTCCAATACTATTTAGGATTTTGGGATTATTTGACCGTATACTTCACGACGCTAGTCGATGCGGGATCGATCAGGGAATGGTAGCGGAGCCCAGGGCACGTTCAGATATAAATTGAACATGTTAGTCGTATTGTTAGTCGTGTCTAGGAATCGAACTTCGAGGCCGGGTTCAGAACACAGTACATCTTACCACGATGGAACGCCACAGTGGCAGGATGTTAACTCCCTGGTATACAGAAGGTCGTGGGTTCGATCCCGATCTTGACGCATGCTGTATAATTGGAGTTTGCGTGTCACTCTCCCCATGATTGCATGGCATTTTCTGAGGGTCCTCCAGTTTTTCCCTTCACATTTAGAATCAAGATGCGTTTAGAGTCTTTGGCTGCTATAAAGTGCCACGTGATAAGCCACTTCTCGTCGGGCTATCATTTGTGACCAGGTCGCTTCTGAAAAAGAGTGATGTAGCTCAGTCCGTCTTAACTGGTAGAATAAAACAGTTTAGTTTAGCTGCTATATTACAGCGCCATCCATTAGGATATTTTAAACAATTTAAAACAAGGTAACCACGTACAATTTACTTTGAATTGGCTTTTATAAGGAGTTAAGTATCGCTAAAAAATATTCCACCGCAGATGGTACGCATTGTCATCATGTTCTACGAGCAGGAAACCGCTGAACTTGCTCGGTAAAAAACATTGCGAACGTGTACAGGGGACTGATCATTTGCTAATTTCATGTAGAAATAATGATTTTTGCTCATATATATGACCAAAATAAATTACAACAATTCACGATTGCATCTCAACTACAATAAACTTCATCCCATGAACAAGCACAACACAATTGCTTGTGCAGTAAACACTGGGAAGGAGCCTTCATCCTCCTGCACAAGTCAAGACTCGTGCAGGAGGGTGAAGCTGCACTTCGAGAGACGCACCGAGGGAGGCTGGCACGCTCTGCCCACTGCGACTGCGACTGAACTCAATGGACGCGCGACCTTTTTCTCTGTTCGTGGGAATGAATAGGCTACGGCGCGTGTGAGAACTTGTTGATTTATAATGAGTTACAACTTGTTTCTTTTCGGTTCTCTGCAGTGGCAACCACGGATTTTCTGCTGTCGGAAAGAACAGGACACAGAACCCGTCCAAACTTTTTTTTTTATTATTTTCCTGTATGTCCCGGTACATTACAGACAGACGCACGAACGAGCGTATCATTCTTCTTCAGAATAGACCAGCAATTCCTGCCATTGTTTCATGGGTCCTGCAGTCAGCTGACGACCCAATCACCCACCGCAATGAGCCCGATCTCGTCGGCTCTCAGAAGCGAAGCACGCTTTGAGCCTGGGTCCGTACTTGGATTTGGAGACTACTCGGGAAGACGAGGTGTCGTGCACGCTGGGGTTGCGAGATGCACACCGACTCATTGGCGCAGCACCTTTGTTCATCAGACCAAACCGGTGGGCAAAATGTAGTAGTGGAAGCTGTGCGGGCACTGCGGAAATATCGAACGCGTGCAATGGACGCACGAGGGAGTGAGCGGTGGAGGGCTCAGAGTTGTTATACCTCGTGTGAGAATCCACTCGGCAACCGGAACGGAACTGCACCGTGTCGTGGTTACGGCTAATTGAGTGCGGCTTGGCTAAATGCGGAGTCACGATAAGCGCACGGTTTTGCACGAGTTATTAAAGTGAAGGTTATAATTAAAATGAAGGCCAAAACGCCTTTGCTTTCCATTTCATGACGATGCTCTTGGTATAATAACACCCAAGTGCATTTGAAATCAGCATCAAACTGGTGGGGGGGTGTGTCTGTCTGTTTTTATTTGTGGGAATCAATTTTATTTTATAACCACGTGGTTTATTATTATTATGTTTTCCAGCCATCTCATTTGTGTTTTGTTGCTGCATTGCCTCTGCGGGTATAGGGGGGTGTGAGGTAGGGAGATTTGCACAACAGACTAAGACAGAACACTTCGCTGCATCAGTCAAATCTTATTTTGTGGGGGGGGGATACAAACTGGGAAGTCAGCTCGTGAGACGTTGTCTCCTTTACAAATACGCCACAGGGTTACTGTGCAATCAGGTGACTTAGCTATTATTCGCCATATTTGCAAACTGGAAAAAAAACCGTAGCCTGTATACACATTATGCAATATAAAAAATGTATTTTCAGGAAAATGTTTTTTTTATTATTCAAGGTCAGCCCAATAATATTTCATACTAATAATCTTGACAACCCTCCTGTCAATCCGGTGCTGGCTGAAGGCCCCCTCACGCTGTGCCAGTCAAGAGGCTTTTCCAACTCTCTTACAAGAGGGGGCGGCTGGGGGGTGAGTCTGGATAGAGACAGTTTACAAAGATAAGCGTCAATACTCTCACTCGTTAGGGGAGTCCAATGTATAAAGAGCCTCGTCAAAAAAACGTTGAAGTGAGCATTGATGTCTTGAGAGTTTGTAATGGGACGACCCGCTTCATTGTCAACGGAAGCTACATGGGTTCGATTCCGTCTGGACTTTGCCATTTGTGCCAATTCCATCACCTCTTGGAGGCGGATGTGGTTGTGGAATGGAAGTTCAGGCCTTCATATATAGTTGGGAGGTTTGATCACGGAGAATAATATCTAGCAAAAGTGGAATTAATCTGAATTTGAAGCTTTCGTGACTGTAGGAATCCATACTCTTTTGTTCTTTCGGTAAAGTCACGTAGGCATAAAATAAAATAAATCACAAGCGTCTGATGGACGCTTGTGTTGCGCCCGAAACGTCGTCATTTATTTTATTTTATACCTACGTGACTTTACCGAAATAACCAAAGAGTATGGACTTAATCTCCCGGATGTTTTATTGGGATTGTGTAGCCTTGCGGGTATCATGAGAGCGCACGCAGAGTGTCCCCTCGGTGGGAGTGTTGTTTGCCTTTGATTTTGTCGAATCCTGCTAGCTCCCTTTTCAAATTAATGAGCACCTCAAGAAACCCTTCAGGGCGTCCCATATTATTAGGGTGGGTGGAGGAAGGGGGGGGGGGCGGGGTTCGACTCCGAGTTGACCGCCATGAACCCTTCCATTTCCCTCCCGATCTCTTCCACGATCTACTTCCCCGTGAGCAATCTCCTGTCCAGTGACCAAGAGTCGTGCGCCATCGCCTCGGGTGCCAAGGAGGGGGATGGGTAAACACCGGGCGTGATCGAACAGCTACGAATCCACCTTTGTGACTGGGCACAAGGAGGGGATTTGAGACCAGGGGGGGGAGGGGAAGTATATTCTGGAGAACGTTCAAAGTGCCTTAGAGATGCGGGTGTCAACTCGTTCCGAGGGGTTTCAGAATCAGAATATTTATTCATACTGGAGGAATCCGATGCGCTATAAAGCACTTTTTCACAATATGTCCAGTTCAGGGCTCTCCATGGGTTCTACCAGTTAACGTTGGGACATAATGTCTTGAAGGATATTCCTCTGTGCTGAGGTAGGATCCGATCTGAGAGGGTGACTTATCGAGAATGGGGGGTCCAGAACCAGGTTCCAATTCCCACCGTTAATTGTTTCACCGCTTCTCTACTCCCATCAATGATGCAATATTAGAACACGGCCTTGAATTAATTGTAAGCGAGAGACGCAGAGGAACAAGGCAACAGGACAGAGACCACTTCCATTTCAAATGTTCAATGTCCTTCCCACCCCGCACCTCCGATTTGCACGGTCGCGGAAAAGAAAAGCTACGTACGGTGCAAAAAAGGTTCAACATGCATACACATGCGATGCTTGTTCACTCACGGTCCCCACGTGTGTGAAGAACGGACCCGTTTTAAAGCCAGGATCTGTGGTGTAGCTGTCGAGTGTGCAGGCGGTGCAACTGC